ACATACATACATACATACATACATACATACATACATACATACATACATACATACATACATACATACATACATAACGTTCGCTCAGCTGGTGTCGGCTTCCACATTTTTATTAATTCGCTAATTTTTTGCAATATTTCTTGTTTTCAAGGTTTTTTTTTCCATTCATCATTAAATTTTTTAGGCACTCCATTGATGGCCGGCGATCATCAGGACAGGTTTTTTAATAAAAAACTTTTTGAGCTAAGGTTTGCCCTCGAACGTGTCTCTCTTTTCCCGGTCCACGACGCGCTGACAATCATCCGCGGCGCCCTCAGTTTGCCGAAATTGATGTATTTTTTGCGCACATCCAACTCTGTTAACGCGGCCATTTTGGGTGAATTTGAGGGTGCTCTGTGGGTGGCCCTCTCAGCCATTTGTAACGTCAATATTACTGACAAGGGTTGGTCTCAGGCTCAGCTGCCGGTACGATTTAGGGGACTGGGATTACTAAGCGTGGTTCAGCTTGCACCAATTGTTTATAAATCTTCTGCATCTGCCACGCTTGACCTACAGTCTGCACTTCTTTGGCAATTTAGTAGCCTACACTGTACTCAACCGACTCCATTCCAACCAACAGACCTTTCCCAGGGCAACATTTTGGGCAAGCATATAAACGCTTTCCCCAAGCCCTGACTCGGCGACCTCGGCTCGCTTGCTGGCAGTATCCAGCGAGACGAGTTGTGGCTGGCTGAGATCTTTGCCCAATACGTCAGTGTGTACCAGATTGGACGACGAAACGGTCAGGACAGCCATTGGTTTCTGTCTGGGGTTGGCCGTTCAGAGTCGATACACATGCAGGTGCGGCGCAAAGGCGGATGAACTCGGCCATCATGGTCTTGTTTGTCGATTGGGCGGAGGTCGCCAGCAGCGACATTCAGCCATAAACGATTTTGTGTGCCGGCTTTTCTCCAAGGCTTCAATTCCGGTTTTAAAGGAACCGTCGGGCATTGCGGCGCATGATAGTAAGCGCCCCGACGGGTGTACCTTGATTCCTTGGAGAGCCGGCAGGTGCTTGGCGTGGGACGTTACCGTTCCGGGCACCTTTGCTGAGCGCTACGTGCAGCTTATTAGCAAAGAAAGCGGTTTGGCTGCAACCAGGGCATCTGATGAAAAGATCAAGAAATATGACGGAGCTTTCCCCTCGATGGAGTTTTTGCCAATTTGTATCGAGGTCCGCGGCCCCATGGACCGTAACACCTCCAAGTTTTTCAATCAGATTTGTAAACATATTAGTATTAGGCCAGGCGATAGTAGGGAGTATTTTTTCGCTATGAATAATATTTCATGCATTTTGCAGCGGTTTTTGCGCGTCTCTGTGTTGGAAAATGTGCAGTTCAATGCCGACGCGGTTGAGTGACGTTATAGTAAATAAAATCAAATTTAGTCAGACGCTTGGCTTTTGGTGTTATTCGTCAATGATTTGGTTTTAACATTACATACATACATATATACATACTTACATACATACATACATATACATACATACATATATACATACATACATGTACATACATATACATACATACATATATACATACATACATACATACATACATACATACATACATACATACATACATACACACATACATACATACATACATACATACCGGTAACTTTTGGAGAAGGTTGGCCAGCAAATGTGCTCTGATCTTGGTGTTGGAAGAAACCAAGGCGAAACTTTACCCAATTCAACTGGGCGTTGGGGTGAAAGGAGGAGCAGAGGCGGCCGTACATGCGGCCCGTAAATTGGTTCTGGACTTACCCGATAAATGGGGTTTTTTAAAAATTGACTTCAGGAATGCCTTTAATACCCTGAGGAGAGATTCGATGCTGGAGGCAGTCAAACGGCTCTGTCCCCAAATTTACAATTACTGCCACTCCGCATATGGCCGAATCTCTTCTCTTGGTTATAACACCTGGGTGATGGAATCGTCCG